AGTCAAAATATTTGTGGTATCTGAGAGAAGGGCCACAAAGACATAGGAGGGCAAACATGAACTAGTAGTGGAAAAATGGAGGGGAGCAAACAAAATATAATTAATAGTGAAATTTGTTTTTATACTCTGAGGCAAGTAAAAAATTTTAATACTTGCTCTGTATTTATATTAGATCATACTATGTTCTTGGATGTTTTGCTTATGGGAAATATCAAAATGTCAACCATTGTTTCTATTAAAGGTCTTTAATGATATTGCATTTTAGACCTATAATGAAACATGGTACTCACTGCAGTTTGTAATGCATCTCATTAAATACATTAATAACATGTATTTCACTAAAAGGTCAAGTTATTACGGCTGAAGTTTAACTTTCGTTTAATCACTTCACTTAAAGCTATAGAGCAAACTCCAACACAACAGAGAGGTCCTGATGCAGAAATGCTCTCCCAATTCTTTCACCCACTCAAATCAGTTATGCTTCTTAAGAAATAACTGGTAGTGTTTTTATGAAAGGATAATGGTATTAAGATTTTTAAAAAATCCTTATCTGTTAAAAGATTTACTGATAAAATGAAAGAATCTCTGTTGTCTCCTTCGGAACAGAAGGGTAGGGAGCTGGTATAACTAGAGCTGAAATAAGACTGCCAGCTGGGCATGGTGGCTCATGTCTGTAATCCTAGCACTTTGGGAGGCCAAGGTGTGAGGACTGCTTGAGTCCAAGAGTTTGAGACCAGCCTGAGCAACAGTAAGACCCCCATCTCTACAAAAAATCAGCCAAGCATGATAGTAGTTCCAGTTAATTGAGAGGCTGAGGCAGGAGGATTGCCTGAGCCCAGCAACTAGTATGGGGGACAGAGACCCTGGCTCAAAAAAACAGAGGGGAGGGGAGGGGAAAAAAGGAGAGAAAAGAAAAGAGAAAATTTGCCATGAGTTGACCACTGCTTAAGCTCATGACAGTGTATTTATGGGAATTCACTGTACTAGTCTCTCTACTTTTACACAGGTTTGATATATTCCATAATAAAAAAGTTTAAATTAATCATGCTGAATTTCTTAAGTAACTTGCTTTCTTCTTTACATATTATTGACACCAACATAAAAGGCCCACCTCTTAATGCCGTAGAGCATTTTAGAAGAATGTTAAAGAGAAGAGGCTAACTTCTTTAAAGAAACGATTTTATGTACAAAAAAATCCTTTAATTTTGTTAAGGTTACTTCATGACTCACTACTTATGCAGCTTCTAAAATAATGAATAGATTTCTCTGAAATCACCTCATGATCCAAGAGTATTTACCATTATGTCATACCAAGGTTATTAGGGACTAAGTTTATGTTGGGGGAATGGTTTAGTTTCTAAAAAGTGGAGTTTAGGGTGCTGAAGGTCCAAAGGCATGGTGCTCAGGAGTTTACTATGGCTAGAACATACCTGGAAGTCTGCTATTATAGAGACAGAAACTAGGACAATGAGAGCAAATGACAGTGTCAAGAAGAGACTATATATTGAGAAAACACAACCTGAGAAGAAGATTCTAAATGCAATGAAACTGGCTGGGCAGCCATAGCTCAGAGGTTACGGTGCTGGCCACATGCTCTGGGGCTGGTGAGTTCAAATCCAGCCCAGGCCTGCTAAACAAAATAAATAAATAAATAAATAAATAGCTGGTGTTGTAGCAGTCACCCATAGTCCAAGCTACTAGGGAGGCTGAGGCAAGAGAATCACTTGAGCCCAAGAGTCTGAGGTTGCTATGAGCTATGATACCACATTCTCCCAAGGATGACAAAGTAAGACTCTGTCTCAGTAAAAATAAATAAATAAATAAATGCAATGAAATTTACGTTGACAGGATAAATGAGCCTAAAAAAGGAAGAGAACAGAAATGCAGGAAAGGCTTGGCACAGTGGCTCACACCTGTAATTCTAGCACTCGGAGAGGCTGAGGCAGGAGGATCCCTTGAGTTCAGGAGTTGGAGACCAACCTGAGCAAGATCAAGACACTGTCTCTACTAAAAAAAAATAGAAAAATGTGCCAAGTGCTGTAGTGGGCACCTATAGTCCCAGCTGCTCGGAAGGCTGAGATGGAAATATTTTGAGCCCAGAAGTTAGAGGTTGAAGTGAGTTATGCTGACAACACAGCACTCTGGCCTAGACAGTAGAGTAAGACTCTATCCCCCCCACACCAAAAAACCCCCCACCAAATACACACACACACACACACACACACACACATATACATATGTATATCAGAGAACCCAAAGAGCATAGCATATGTAGTGTTACCAAAGCCAAAGAGAAGTGTTTCCAGCAAAGTGGAGAAAAGGTTAAATGCTGCAGGAAAGTAGTAACTGGATTTGGTAATAAGGAAATCTCTAGCCATCTTTCCATAGTGTCCCAAGACGCTAGGCTAAAATGTAAGTATTAGTAGACTATAACACTACCTACCTTCCAGAACAAATAGTTAATTTATACAGGGAATCTGAATACTAATAAAAAGTAAAAACAACAATAAAAACCACACAGAAAAAAACAGTGGGGATGATGGTTAGTTACACTGGTAACAATGAATTGTTCACAAAAGTTGAATGTTGCCAAAGGTTTCCCTCAGCAGAAAAAGATACAACTACCTAACATTTTATGGTGTTGAGGTGTGCCAGAAACTGTGCTAATGGTTTACATTGATTATGTCCTTTAATCCTCACAACCATATTATCCCATTTTACTGTGAAGTTAAGTAACTCGCCCAAGGTCACATTGCTAATCTATTGCTGAGATGAAATCTAAACCCAGACAGTCTGACTTTAACTACTCTATAAGACCAGGCAAATTGAAAAGAGATTCAATTAAAGACAGTAAGTCCCAGTTTGTTCTGGGTTTGGTACAAATTCAGCCTCTGGTATACACCAGCTATACAGCACAATATAAATCAGTCATCCTGATTAACAAAGCTGAGAAATTTTTCAATAATCACATATCAATGGGGATGGGGTTTTGGTACATTTGTTTAACCTGGACAAGAAATATGCAAAAAGTAACTATCCTTGACACCTCCACCCCTGCCATTGGTATTCAGCTTTAATTATACTCCATTTACCAAGACAGGGAAGTATATGTGTACAACATATTGTGTCATGCTGCCAAAATAAATGAAATAAATGAATAACTGAAATAAATGAGAATTAGCTACAATTCACATGCACAGAAATTCTAGTTATTAGAGAACTCATTGTCCTCCCACCTTAGAATATGTGATACCTAACAAACCTTCCTTTCTTCTTCCTCCTTCACCACAAAACACTGTTGGATTAATAGACACCTGTCAGATTAACTGAAGTTCACCAATGAGGCAAAGAGGTAATCAATCAGTTAAATACAAAAAAGATTTAAAAGATCATAACAAAATAACTTTTTTCTGAGACAGAGTCACCCTGGAGTTGAGTGCCACAGTGTCATCATAGCTCACAGCAACCTCAAACTCTTGGGCTCAAGCAATTCTTATGCCTCTGCTTCCCCAGTAACTGGAATGTTTCTATTTTTAGTAGAGACAGGGTCTTGCTCAGGCTGGTCTCAAATGCCTGAGCTCAAGCAATGCACCCAATCCACCAGCCTCAGCCTCCCAGAGTGCTATGATTATAGGCATGAGCCACCTCATCTGGCCAGAACAAAGTAAAATTTAAATATTATAATGGCTAAAGAAATTAAGTAGTATCCAAGAATAAAAATGTGTCTATTATATATACTGGACACTAACCCTTAAAATCTATATTTTATGATGAATTAAAAAAAATTGAAAACGTGCGAGCAAGAATAATGAATAACAAAACAGAAAAGGCTTTATTGTGAAACATTAAAGACATTTAATCTAGAGCAGTCTAAGTCATTCCAAAGGCATACCAGGAATTAGGGTACTAGGGCATTAAAAATAGCAGAGAAATGCTCCAAAAATCTCAAAAAAAAAAAAAAATTGAAAGCCATCAATCTATCATCTATTTAAGGGAGGAAGGAGGCAAAGATGGGGGAGGGAATAAAAAAGAAAGACACACGCTCATCAATTATTCAAGGTTCCTGGAAGGACTGCAGACTTTTTACACATGTAACAGTCTTCAAGTATGGCAGTAGTACACAAAACCTAAAAAACTGGACTCTAGGAAGTCACATTCCTAATTAAAACAGGTACTCTCCTACAAGAAATGTTCAATGAATTCCCTACCCCAGAAACCCTATTCATTTATCTTAAATGGTTTAAGGTGGTTCTACCAAGGAGCAGATGCCAAATTAAATGTCCTGCCTTAGGTCCCTTCCAACTCTTAAGTCCATGATACTATAAATTTTAAAGAGCTAAAGAAAACACTAAATCAGCATGCAAATAAGAAACAGTGATTCCAACCACCATGCACTCATCCCAAACTTCCTCTACCCCAGTCCTGCAGTGCAACCAGGCACACAGGAGGCAGTGGTACAAAAGGAACATTACTAGATCACAAGGAAAAGAAGCTGGAGTTTTGTCTCTGCCATACATGAACAAGCTCTGTAACTTTGGGCAAGTTATTGTGGGCTTCACTTCTCCCATCTATAAAATGAGGGGACTGGGAAATCAAATAATCTCCAAATTCCTTTTCTCTTCTAGAATTCTCTGACTTGTAGTCAGCAATTCTCTTCCAAAACTTGTTCCTCCTTCTATGCCACCCCAAGAAAGATCATTTTAACATGTTGTTCTAAAAACTTCCCAAAGGCAGGCCATCTTTTAAGCGCATGATACAACCAACTTAAATGAACTGAGTTTACTCCTTCATTCTTCCCATTTTGTCTATACCAGTGGGTTTTCAAGTATGTTTCCTGAGCTTTAAAGAAGTTAACTCAGAAAGTTACACAGAAGGAGTAAGGAAAGACAGGTGAGAAAGCAGAATAGATGGGGCTCAAGCACACAATCCACTTCAGTCAAACCTGTCTTCATTTGACAAAAGTAGTTCTAAGTAACCCAAAATGGAATAAATATTCTTACTATTTTTTAGGGCATTGGCAAATTCTGGGCCACCTCTGTCCTTGAAAACTGGAAAAACGTCTGGTTGAGGAAGTTGATTGGTGGTCAACAGAGCTTTCTGTAGTTTAATCCTTCCTTCCAAGAGCTGGTCCCACAGTGCTGAGAAAGAAAAGAGAATCCCATCCCTCAATTATAGTCTTTCAGGGGTGAGGAGTTGGGGAGAGAGAGGAAACTATACTAGTCTCTAAGCACCACAGCTTTATCAGGTGTATGCCATGGAAACAAACACTCCATTATAGGAAATAATTCAGTATCTCTGAAGCAAACATTTGCCACAGGAGAGCAGGAGTACTAAAACCTAGGGAGAGGAGAAAATACTCTTCAATCTTTCACAGTTGCGGGAGGTACTAGAGCAGAACCAGCTAAGCAGCTCAGTGCAGAAATGGCTATGCATAGAGGAACCGGGCTTTCGGCCAGTAGGTAAGTGGGGCATGTCACAAACTAATTGGAAGGACACAGGAGAGACAGAACAGCCAAAAACAAACAAAAAGTAGACCAAATGCAGACACTCTGAAAAACAGGCAGTCAGCAAAGTCATGTACAAACCTATCTGGTTCTTCACAGCTCCTCCTTTCTCCACTTCCTCGGAGACTTTGACACTGGAGAAGGTCATCACTACACCATCGTCTTCACTGTTCCTGTCTCCTCCAGCTCTGTCTTCCTCGATCTCACCCTCCACATATTCCTCACTTTCCCCTTCTTCCATGCCACTCTCCTCCTCTTCATCTTCCTCGTCCTCATCTTCTTCCACGTCACTGCTCCCGAGGTCATCCATTCCCTCAGTAAACTTCTCAAAGTCACTGATGCTCTGGACACTGAAGCCTGGTGTTTTTGCAGAGCGGCTTCTGCTCTGCTTCCTCCAGGCCAGATCGCTCTCCCCATCATCACTGCTCTCCCCCTCATCACCACTCTCCTGTTCCTCAGCAGCATTCAGGTCATCCTCATCAGATTCCTCCAGACCCAGTCCCTCTGACTCTCCATCTCCTGACCCTTCCTCATCAGCTATTTCCTTCTCTGAACAAAAAGGGAGAGAAGAAAGAGAAAAATGGATGTCACCTGAAGGAAAACACCAGGCCATTATCTTTCATTTTAACTAAAGCATTATCGCATCTCTCAGGGGGGAAAACATGTATTATTGTACTCAGTTCAATTCAACAAATATTTATAGCATATCTACTGTCTCTGAAATTCTAAGGAGGAAGCAAAGATGAATAGAACATGGATGCGACCACAACGAAAGGTTATAGTGGGAAAGACAGATTCATAAAAACTACAATTCGAGCGGCGCCTACGGCTCAGTGAGTAGGGCACCGGCTCCATATACCGAGGGTGGCAGGTTCAAGCCCACCCCTGGCCAAACTCCAACAAAAAAATAGCCGGGCGTTATTGCGGACGCCTGTGGTCCCAGCTACTCGGGAGGCTGAGGCAAGAGAATTGCCTAAGCCCAGGAGTTGGAGGTTGCTGTGAGCTATGACGCCACGGCACTCTACCAAGGGCAATAAAGTGAGACTCTGTCTCTTAAAAAAAAAAA